GGGGAGGGGGGAGTTTCTGACAGGAGTGGGAAGAGGATGACAGCGACGAGGACACCTCCGCTTGGATTCTCTTTGGCAAGAGAGAGAGAGAATGAATACCTGAGAGGACCAGAGACTTCAGAGGTCTGCGTGAAGCGGGTGGGTGGGGATGTGGGGGGGCAGGAGAAAACGAGAAAACTAAAGAGGGCACGGCCAGCCAACAGAAGCGGAGGGGGCTAATTCGGAGTGCTACCGGCTTACGCAAGACGATGCACGAACAAGTTTTGTCCTGGTGCCGAACCTGCTCCTATCCTGTCCTTTTTCATGGGCATCTTCTTCTTCTTCTGGTGCTTCCTCTTCTTGGTCTCGTAAGAGAGTCGGTTAAAAATTTCTTTTTCTTTTGTTGATTTCAGGTAATCGAACAGGATCCATATTGGGTGCCGTCTACCGAAGAAGAATATTTACATTTTGGCGAGAAAGCGGATAGCGGAAATCGCGCCAAGAAGTATATGGACTCTGTTCGTCGAAGAAAGGGACTTCCGGTCGATTCGCAGCTTGTTACTCATGCCGAGAAACAGCGCACTCTCTCCAGGAAAAAATAGATTTTCTTTGTTCTTTCGTCTTTCTTGTAAATTGATATACTTAATGGACCTTGCTGGATGCGTAATATCGGTCACGGAATTTTCTTTTAATTTCCTTTCTTTTTGTAGAAGCAGCCATTTTTTTATGGTAAATGGACACTGTTCGGATTTTTGAAATTTGGTCCGCAGGTTTGTTCCTTCCGGCGATGATTGTTTGCATCTACGGGGAAATTGGGTTCGATGTTATTATTCACTTATTAAAATAAAGAATTAACTGAAAAGGTGTCTGTGATATCAATAAAGAAATTTTTGGTTAAAGTTTAGAGTGTGACGGTCGGAATATGTATGCTTAATGTTGATCGATAATAATTGTATTTGGGGTTCTGTTGTTTTGCGATATGTCAACCTGAAAGAAATTATCTATGCCTTCGACATCGGCCTGTAGGGTGGGATGGGGAATAATGTAAGATTTTAAAACTTTACATGGGAATTTAAGATCGTAAAGCAAGTAAGTACAGGTTCTTGTTTTAAAAATGTAAGCACGTGTTTAACAGAGTAATTTATTTATTTGAATTATTGGTCTAGTTTGTTTTGTTTTACCTATGTAGAAAACATTCTTCAATCGTCAGCGAAAACAATTTTTTGTCCCTGAAAACCTTGTTTCAGTAGTTCTTGCTGTTTCTTTTTGGCTACCCACGATGGATGAAGGTTCCTATCGTCACTGTTAGCCACTTTTTCACTTCGGTTTTGTGACTGGTCTGAAAATTCAGTCCTAACCTTCTTTGCGGAGCCAAGATCGTTTCTTGGTTTCGTTTTTAAGGTGAAATCTCTCCCTGGTCTTTTTTGAGGTAATTCGTGCCTCCAATTCCCACTCCCGTTATTTTTTGAATATTCGCGTTTACCGTTGGATCTGTCGAGATTTGTAAAAAATGTGCCCTTGGAGAATTTTTTTCCCATGTCATTGTCACTGTTTTCATATTTACCCCCCTCTTCGTTCTCTTCCAGCGGGGTAATTTTTGGCACGACGACGCTCATATATTCAGTATCCCCTTCATCCGTCATGAAGAACGGATCGACTTCTTTTTCAATCTTGAATTTTCCTTCCTTCAATTCATTGGAAATCTCCTCTGTAGAATTCTTTCCTGAATCTTCCTCTTTTAGCAATTCTGTAAACCTCTTAACCGTTGCCTCTTTGCTTATGATTTTGGGTGCATCAACTTTCGTGTCTGATTTCTTTTTTATAGTAGGTTTTTCATTTTTATCAACTTTTATAATGGTATTTTTTTGTTTCACAGATTTCTTTGTTGGTTGTATTCGCAATATACTACCTGGTTCCGAATCACACTTTAATGAAACTTCATCATCATCTGAATCTGTGTCATTCTTTACTTTATCTCTAGTAACGTGTTCGTCTATCGTGCTATCTTCTGTAACACTGTCGAAACTTTTTATATGTGGATTCTCAAAAACTTCACTTTCTTCCACATTATTATCTTCTGTATCGCTGTCAATCATTGTTTCTCTATTGCTTCCCAATTGCAATTCGTTAGACTGATCAGCTTTTTCACCCTGTTTCTTTGCTTTCCTCTGTAATTTAACCATCTTCTTTCTTCCAGGTCCCAAATGCTCCTCGTAATTAGGAAACTTTTCCTTGATCGTAGCCACTCTTTCAGCTAAACTTTTGTAGTTCCCTAGTTTCACCATAATCCTTGTGCTCGCATCAGATGTTTGATCTGTCAATACGTCTTGGAGGCTCTTCTTGTTGGTGATAACAAATTTGGAAATATCGTCATCCTTAAGTTTCTTAGCAGCAAGCACCTCTTCGGTAAGTCTGTCAGCTTTTCGTTTATATTTGTTTTGCTGCATTTCCGTACCGCGTTTTGCTCGCAATGTTTTTGCTTCCCTTACCAATTTTCTAATAACATTAACTCTCGCCTGGCGCACCAAATGTCTCATCAACACTAACTGTAACAGAAAGAAGATACAAAGGATGTTAACAAATATTTAATGAATTTTAACGAACAAAATTAATTTTTAAAGCTTTCATAACCTCAAAAAAGAATTTAATATGATGCAGCTTTAGCCATAAGAAACATATAACATACCTCGTTGTTTATTTCAATCTTACTCATTCTTCAAAATTATAGAGATACTTGTTTTCAAAAAATTATTTAATGAGTTAATATGTAGAAATACTGTTATTCTTGAGAAATCGCTTTTTTACCGACAATTTCTATTCGTGCATGGATAACCTAAAAATTAAGTTTACTAGATCTAACCTGACCTATTCCACTATGCACAAACAGTGAAACATATTTATTAATTTATTTAACAACATACAGTTAATTAGAATATTCTTGAATATACAAGAAAAATCTAGATTAAACATAATATTATAAATATAAAATAATTTTCCAACACAACTACAGAATATCTTCGATATCGAGTACTATAATTATCATCCTTTCGCACAGATGGCTCCAGTAGTGAAAGTCCCCAAAACACTCATTGCAATGATATCGTATGAATAAATTCCCGTCTTTTGATTTTTCCATCTCAATAAGTGAAAAACATATGCTTTCTCATTCTGTTGTATTGAAAACTATTTTTAGTCAAATGAAACGCCTGAAAACACGAGCTTATTCGGTTCTTTGTTTCTGGAAAGGAAAAACATTTTTTACCGACTGAATATATTCGATTAAGAACTTCGCAATTGAAGTCAGAGATGGTAATAAAGTATAATTAAATTTTCCAGATTTTCCCGCTAGATGTCTCAGATATCAAGTTGATGGATGGTGGTCATCAGAACTGGGGTACGTTGAGGTGTATTGAGAAACCGTCGCAACACCTTGCGTTGTTTATCCGACTTTGAGGTAAATTACATAATTATTAATGACAGTCTGACACCTCGGGCGTAATGATGATGTCTTGTGGTTTTGAGCTTGATGGAAAATATTAAGAAATCTGCATTGCACTCTCGATTCTTGACCTTGAGACATATTTATTCGAGTTTTATGATTGTTTTTGAGCAATTATGATGTGTCAATTTTCCTGTTTTGATTAAAATCAATTCGTTTTTATCTCGGGGCGCGTACGTCATCATTGTGACTTTGACAGTTTGACGCATCTATTTGGCAATGATTTCCTTGGACTGCGTCTGAACGCAATGCTAAATTAAATTCGAACTACCGTGACTCGAGCATTTTTCGTTAGCAAGAAGTCTGTTAAGGTTAGTCGGAGCGCCATTAAAACATATTTTTCATCTATATATGATTATCTTCTGTTATTGGCTTACGGATCCCGCCAATGTGACACGTAAGTAAAACGTGTAAGATAGGGGTACCGTCGTGTAAACTTCAAAAATCATAATTAAGTCAAATAATTGTATAATGACCAATATATTTTGTTTTCATCGCGAAGTAATCAAACGAGATAAAAATTTATCACTGACATGCTAATGCGAGTTAAAAAGTAAGCCACAATGATAATACCCCAAAGCATCGCGTATTGATATTACGAAAAATTTTGTAAATTTATTTGGAGAGAAATATATTTTTCTACCTTGGATTCTTTTTATGGTTTTAGGTTGGGTCTTGGAGAACACACTTTGTAAACTAATAAAATTAATAGTTTGGTATCGTTGATAGCTATGAGTTGTGTTCGCTGTTGCCTAGTGAGTGCTGGTCGCTTAGTATCCTCCAATCATGTCACTAATCATGGTAAGTGAAGTTTATTGAAATTTAGATTGATCTATCCTTGGAATAGATATGAACGTATATCGATGTTTACAGTACATAAAATTGTGAGGGTTGTGGCTACTCGATCATTGGTAACTACATGTGCATTGGGGAAAGCACCAACTGAACCTACTCCGCCTAACAAGGATGCAGGTGTTAATAATACTACCGCTACTAGTTCACCTGGCAGCGGTGGTGGAGGAGGGAAAAAGAATACACTCACCTGTCCAAAATGTGGAGATCCTTGTACTCATGTAGAAACATTTGTTTGTAAGTTGTAGTTGTATGAAAAACCAGTCTGAATCTGTTTTGTGTGTAAGGTATTAGCTAAATAATATTGTATGTCTCGTATTAGCATCTACAAGGTTTGTCAAGTGTGAGAAGTGTCATCATTTCTTTGTGGTACTGTCAGAAATTGATTCTAAAAGAAGCCTGAAGGAAGCTCTAAGGCCGGAAGAAACTAAACAAGGCTTTTACAGAAAACCTCCTCCTCCACCCAAAAAGGTAAATATAAATATAGAATTTTATTAATAGCACTAGATAGATGCTTCTTAATGGATAGTTGAGAAAATGTTTTTCAATTCTTATAAATAAATAGGACTGTGTTTACACTTCAAAATAGACTTGAGTCTGAGCCAAGTGTCAGACTGTTCTTGACACTAAAAGTAACAACTATAATTGCATGCAGAAGTTTTTCATTGCAACGATTCTCTATCGAAGATACACTAAATAATTTAATATGGACGATTGACGATTTTCCTTTTCAGATTTTCGAATACCTAAATAAACACGTAATTGGTCAAGAATATGCGAAGAAGGTTCTCAGCGTGGCTGTATATAACCACTATAAGCGGATTTACAACAATTTACCAGTGCAGAATACAGTACAAGCGAACGCAACACCGGTTAACGCGCAAGAGTCAAATCATCCCTTCACTCACAGAGGTCTCAAATCACGTAAATAAAATTTTTCCCACTGTTCAACCGCATCCCGTCTCTCCGAGTCGTTATATTTGGGTTCGAAACGAATGTGGCTGACAGGGAATATTATTCGAAACAGCACATGACCCTGTATATAATAATTTAAAAAAGAAACAATAGGACTTCCACCATCATCAGTTATTTCCGACCCAAGTAACAATTCTGTATATGCCACAGCAGAAATCATAACTAATTCTCTTTTGCAGATCTACTACACATATCCAGTATAGGAAATTCCCTGGGAGTGGGATTGCAGCATGTGCCTCCTGGAAGTGATCAGCAACAAAAATTAGGTCAAGGTCAATCAGTCCCAGGATCCGATATCTTAGATAGCAAGCAACATCAACTTAAATTGGAGAAGAGTAACATCCTCCTTCTGGGACCAACCGGTTCCGGAAAAACATTACTGGCCCAAACAATAGCTCAATGCTTAGACGTTCCGTTCGCAATTTGTGACTGTACTACCCTGACCCAGGCAGGGTACGTCGGAGAGGACATAGAAAGTGTTATAGCAAAACTTCTTCAAGATGCCAACTACGTAGTGGACAGAGCTCAGATGGGTATCGTTTTTCTGGACGAAGTAGACAAAATTGGGGCTGTCCCAGGTATTCACCAACTGAGGGACGTAGGTGGCGAAGGTGTTCAGCAAGGGATGCTGAAGATGTTGGAAGGAACTATAGTGAATGTGCCGGAAAGGAACAGTTCAAGGAAATTACGTGGAGACACTCTACAAGTCGACACTACTAACATCTTGTTCGTAGCTTCCGGTGCCTATAATGGACTAGACAGGCTAGTGTCCCGACGTAAAAATGAAAAGTATTTGGGATTCGGTGCAACACCTGCCTCTGAAAGTCCTGGCAGAAGAGCTGCGAGTCTTGCTGACGTAGCCAACATGTCACCATCTACTGAGGATGACAATAAGGAAAAGGATATTCTTCTTCGACAAGTCGAAGCTAGAGATCTCATAGACTTTGGTATGATACCTGAATTTGTTGGTCGATTTCCGGTTCTGGTTCCTTTTCATACCCTCGACAGAGACATGCTCGTTAGGATTCTGACAGAACCAAAGAATGCTATGGTTCCTCAGTACCAGATGTTGTTCTCGATGGACAAGGTAAGTGAACAAAAAAGATCTGTCCCTTGTTTCAAGTAATATACGAACATTTTGTGTGAGTTGAATTTTTGTTCTATATTCAGGTGGAACTGACATTCACGGCAGAAGCACTGAACGCAATAGCTTCATTGGCTATGGAAAGAAAAACTGGTGCAAGAGGTTTGAGGGCCATAATGGAGTCTCTCTTGCTGGACCCCATGTTCGACGTCCCGGGAAGTGACGTCTTGTCCGTTCATGTGACGGACTCTTGCGTACGTGGCGAGGAAAAACCTCAGTATGTACGAAGAGCCGAAAGTAACGAGGATGAACTACAGCAGGCGCAACACGTGCTTAACTGATATAAAACAAATTAAGTGGGCTAGTGTTTTTTTGCACTATACTTGTGATGGGAGAAATTACACTGGAATAGCTCGTGGTAAAAAAAAAAAAACAGAAAAATATAACGAAAATATGTGATGAGAGCCCCCTTTCACGCGTTTAGAAACTGAAATTGCAGTGTGTCGAACGATTTTACTTTAGTTAACTTTCGAGAAATTTTTGATAACATATAAAGTAAAATTTGTCAGAATTTAATTCTCCCGTCAGATATATTGCACGTTTTCTTTTTTCTCGATACAACTCAGCGTACTAAACCCTTAATCTTAATTAGAACAAGACGTTAAATAAAATTTACAAAGTTACTTCGTTGCGAGGTTACGTAATCTCAAGATGCAACTAAGATGGTAAATTATTTTTACTTGAACTTCTAGATAGATAAAGGTTCTATGTATTATATTGTATATAGCAATAGATTAGCGGAATACGGGAAAAGTAGTGAGCCACCACGGACGTAGTTGGAAAAAATACTAGCAAATTGATTTAATCAAAGGACATTGGTGTGGTGATTATGGTGGAGAATTTCTGCATTGATAATGAGCAAACGTGCATGTGCATTTGTTTCCTTGTAAAGCTAAAGTCCGGATGGGTCTCCAACTTTACTACTTCGTAAATATGTCGCTCTGAATAAAAAATATTCTGTCCAAGGAAACTATTTACAGACAGTGCAGTCGTGATATTTAAATTGGACGGGGTACAAATTTAAATTTTACCACAGGATGTCATCTTCATTTACTCATGATTATTCAATCTCGATATAATTACACGGGGAGGCTCGTGCCCAATTTAAAAAAGTTGAAAAACAAAATCTTATGAAGGTACGATGTTAAACACAAGGAACAGTAAGTAAACAAAATTAGATGGTGCTCCGATAGAGATATTGTAGGACTATATTAAATTTACATTGTACGAAAGTATATTTATAATAAATAAAGTTTAAAAATTCTTATACTTACTAAACCGTGAATTCAAGGTAAAAGTTCTTACGTTCTATTGGATAACGGGTTTAAAATTGTTTGTAAATGTTTTATTAACAACATTCTGTACATACCGTATAATAATTGATGTGAAATACGTAATGGTTAATGACTTCTTTGTATGTACAATGTGAATGGGCATGACTAGAGTGTTGCTGTTTTTTTTCTACATTGGCTACTAACAAATTTCTTAATATATACAGACTGCCTCATGCAGAATGAGTGAAAGTAATTTTTTTTCAAAATTATCACCTATTAGAAATCAAAGCAATTCTCGTCATGTTTAATTTATTCGATTAGTTACTGCACACTTTTAAGTGTTTCTTTATTATCTGATAAAAATTAAACAGCCGCCCGTTTCTCTGATTAACAGCGAATATTAATTGCAGTTATTCAAAGAAAGTCACTGCTCTCAGAATATTACGTTTCTATTTAGATTTTAGAAATCCAAAAAAAAACTATACCAGTTCATATTTCATTATAATAAGAATGCTGTGGTTTAATTGGCTTAGGCTTAGGTCTTAACATACTAGTAATTTCTGTAATAATCCACTTGGTTGTTCTCAATACTAAGACATGGGCAGCAAATTGCAATATAAGAGCTCCGAAGCCTTTATACAAACCTAAGGGTCCTTCGGTTGCAATAATGGTACGATAACAATCTACAGCACCACTGTACCCTGTCAGCAATGGCGTAACACTTCTGCCATCATCCAAATTGTCAATAATTGTTCTAGTGCCTTGCAAGTGCAGTCTCAGAATGACAGTTTCTAATGGATAAAATACAACATCAGCAGCACAGGTTGAGATCAAAGCAGAGTGTAATTCTATATCCTGAACCACAGTCTCCGATACAAGATCTCTGCTGTAGGCTCCCTGAAAAATTGTATGCATTTCTGTTTACCTTAAATAAATGGAAGTGAGCGGTTTTTCTGTGAAGTTAAATCATACCGTAGCTTCCTGGGAGTGTTTGTGACGAATATGCATAATGCGGCTAGTGACACCACGTACAATCAGTGCGAATAGATATTTAGCAAGGCCACAGGCCACAGTTGCTGGCAAAAGGGCATAGATAGGAATGAGTCTGCCCTTATTAGTGACTTCCAATAAACGAATTGCACCATCACGAAATACGTCAAAAATTCCTGGTCGCTCCGAAGCAATTTCAGATTGCACTGTCTCCACCAGAGATGCTGAATAAAAAGGAGATACTATCCCAATCGCTACGCTGTGGAACGATCGTTTTAATAACTCATTGTTGTACCGTTGTAAACAATCAATACAATTGGTACTGAATAGGTAATTTATTAAATATTAGGATTATATCTCTACCATTTTAAAAGAAGGTGCTGTCCAAAAGCTCTCAAGGAACTGTTGCAAGTTATTTCTCTGTAATATAATAATCAATTACTCATCAAAGTATTATATCCCAAAAATCAGGTTTGAAGATCAAACTCTTTTACTATTCCTGTTGTCTATACCTTTGATTCAGATTATACGAGGCAAAAGACAGCCTGAATAGTTAATCAGATTAATAGATTCTTTCCTACTATTGTTATATACGTTTATATCATTGGCATAAACAGCAGGATCAACTGTTCTCATGCCAAAGAAAAAGAGTCAGTCCCGTATTGTGTTACTTTATTTAATTGTAGATCACCTTACTTTGGCCAAGGAGTGACTTTGGATACCAAATCTTCCACAGCCAGTGCCAGTCCTCTAACAATCAATACCGAACCAATTCCCTTCCACAATATATTTAATCCTTGACTTTGATGCAATCGTATTATTACTGGTACCAAAGTGATAGGTACTAAATGATATTTGGTGGCAACGGGATTCACTTGACATTGTCTCCGTAACACAATAAACGGATGTATTAATAGATTCTCTGTGATAAGACTAGCCAAGCCACATCCAAGGCCTACATACTTTTTAACAGTTGTATCTAAAAAAATATTTTTAACGTTTCTTTATCTCACTCGACACATCAAGCAATGTTTTCATTGCAATAATATAACATTGGTATGGCTAATTATTGTGATATTATTTTGTTCCACAGAAATTTCCTACCGTCGTCCTGTGGCGGACTATTCTGTGCTAGTGGATGAACCACTGGTATATCCAAAGGACGGATAACCTCGCGGTCGTGATATTTGCTCGGATATCCACCACCAGCTTCCCAAGGTTCCAAAGGTCGTCCTCTATAGACCCGTTCATATCCTTCTAACCCAGCCATTTCTTTTTCTAAATAAACGCTTCTTCACGAGGAATTCTTACAATTATTTTTTAAACCAACAGTTCACGGCACTACCCGACATCGTATCACACTAGAGTTTTGACCCAACGTTATTGCAACTGCTTCTAGGAAATCAACCGTAGATGGCACCAGTTATAAGGTACAAGAAATAAAGGAATAATAAAATAAAATAGAATTAAAGCAATGATAATCAAGCTTGTAATTATGTAAGACAATTCATTGTAAATCTCAACGTGGACGAATTTACTGGTAGGATTAACTAGGTCTGTCTCCGACGAAGTCTTCGCATCCTCGTGTGTACTTTTAATAAGCGGATGACATACAGAGAGATGCAGATGGTTCTGCGCCAGGAGGGCCGGAAGGATGGTCCATCCGTCGACTTCCGTCCCACGATAGAGGAAATGGCAGAGCCTGTTGATGGTAGGAATCGCCACGATATGTATGTCGAACTCTACCGGGATGGTAACAACGCGCAACGCTTCTTCCAGCATTCCTGCAGAGCCGACGTCCTGGACAAGCCATGTGGTTTCGTCGACCGGAAACTGAGAAGTCGGGATACGTGCAAACAATCTCTTGCACATACGTCATCGTCAAGCATACTGCCTGGAAGGTATCTTTTTAATTTTCTTACTATTAATTTATTTCATTGATATCTTATCAGTAGCAACGTAAAGTTCTCAATATGGTTTCGTGTGGACTTTCTTCGGGCTGGTACCAAAATGTACGACAGATATAGTCACACCGAATACACATCATCACTTAATAGATGGCCCATTTTATTTTTTATTAAATTCCATATACTATAAAAACTCGAGATGTGCATTTTCATGAAGAGCATGTTTGTTAGTTACCGAAATCTTGACAGGGCGTGTAACGAAGTTAACGTTAAAGAATTAAAATTTACATGTTGCAATGTCTAAAAAAAAATGTTACTTAAATGCTCCTTATATTTTTCTAATTACTCCGCAATTTGTTGTTTATTTTATTAAAACATTTTTAAATAACAAATTATGCTTTTCTCTTAGATATTCAGACTTGGAAACCAAAAATCTTGGCAAAGAATTTTTAAGAGTAAGTTGCCCAAAATTGTTTGCGCGCAAATTCGTCGCGCAGGACTCGGTGACTGGGAGAAGGCGGATGGTGGGGGGAACGCTCGAGCAGGACTCGGAGCGCTCATTCTTCCTCGAGCCGGTCTCCTATACTGGTGTCTTGGAAACACCTCTCTTATCCTTTACCAATCTTCTTCATTTTCTATATTTATTTCTTCTTTACTTCCTTATTGCTTTATCATTCATTCTTCACTTTCCTATTTATCTCTTTCCTCATTTCTTCTCCACTTTTATAATTCTATTCCTTACTTTTCTACTTCTTCACTTCTTCATTTCTATATTCATTTCTTTGTTCTCGTTTCGCTTTGTTCCCTCTCAGTTTACATTGTATTTGTCTTACTTTTCCTATTCCTTTGGTCGGGTCGAGCATATTTATTCAATTAGTCATATAAGAGTAGTCACCCTGTTAGTGCAGCTAGACTTAAGACCATGGTGTCGGGGGTTGCCCTTCCGCCTCTTCCGCTGAGCTTGCTCAGTGGTTGGTGGCCCAAGTTGTGGCCGCAACAGGACCTTATGGGTCTCCCGACGGGGGCCTTGAGCCCCCTTAGGGTATCTACGGCCATGGTCTTTCGTATAGTGAATCTAGCCAGGTGTCTAGCTCTCGCGTATTTAGTATCATTTGTTCGCTTTGCTAAAAACGCTCCAACATGTCTTGACCCTTGGGCACTTGTGTGGGTAGAGACGATCCTATTTGTCCGTGGGGAGGTCGGAGGGGTAGTCCGTTGACTTTGGGTAAAGTCCTACTTGTGCTTGTGCTTGGGGGTCACTTCACTTGGGGTAGGTGCGGGTGCTATTGAGCACCCGCTAGTATAAAGTCACCCTCTGTCGGAGACATTTTGCGCGTGGATCGATGGCTAACGGGGCCCGCCGCCGGCGGCGGGCGTGGTTCCTTACGTCTAACCCACTGGGCTCGCCCGTGGGAAGGGACGGAGGTTGTAGCGTTAAATATCGTCCTTCGGGATGTCCCGGCGTGCCCGCAAGGGTTCGCTGGGTGCTACGCCCGCGGTCTTTCGTTGCGGTGAATCTTGACTAAGGGTAGACCTTTCGCGTTTAACTTGTCCCTTTTGCGTTTAACTCATCTTAGCTTCTTCGCGTTTAACTTCACCTTACCCCCTTGTGCGTTTTTCTTGTCCCTCGACCCGACTTCCTTCCCTTCCTGAGGTTTTTCCCCCCTAGTCCTGTGCGCGAAAGCCGCAGGACTCGGGGGTTTTCCTCAAAAAAAAAACAAAAAAAAAACACGGTCCCCTATGGGGCTTCGGAGGGGTCGTAGCTCCATTGTGGAGAGGTAGGACCTCACGGAAATGGGCGGGGTGGGGCCCATTTCACTCCCTTATACTTCTTACTTTTGCTACTTTTTCGAGTTTTCTCGTAGAATAAATTATCTTGTAATACTTATACACTTTTCGAATCTCCTATTCCTTCCTATTCTCCATCACTCTCCTCCTAGTATATCCTTAAAAACAAAGTTTTTAAAATGTTTTTTGGAAAAAGAAAAGTTGTATATTATATTATTGTGATATATTTTAATATATTTCTAATGGCATTGATATTACTAATCTTTCGTGGGCTATATATGTATGTACATCTGTATTTTGTATACTGTATCATTATATGTTTGTAGAATAAATTATCTTGTAATACTTATACACTTTTCGAATCTCCTATTCCTTCCTATTCTCCATCACTCTCCTCCTAGTATATCCTTAAAAACAAAGTTTTTAAAATGTTTTTTGGAAAAAGAAAAGTTGTATATTATATTATTGTGATATATTTTAATATATTTCTAATGGCATTGATATTACTAATCTTTCGTGGGCTATATATGTATGTACATCTGTATTTTGTATACTGTATCATTATATGTTTGTAGAATAAATTATCTTGTAATACTTATACACTTTTCGAATCTCCTATTCCTTCCTATTCTCCATCACTCTCCTCCTAGTATATCCTTAAAAACTAAGTGTTTAAAATGTTTTTTGGAAAAAGAAAAGTTTACAGTGGTAGCGCATGTAACATACCACACGTATATTATATTGTAGTGATATATGTATGTAGTATATTTCAAATGGTACTGTTATTGTTAATCTTTCGCAAGCCATGTACTGTATATGTATACTGTATCATTATTCCATTTGTCGAATAAATAATCCTTCTCCTGCCTTATGCTTTGACACCCCTTTCCAGCTATGCTCCATTCCATCTCTACCATATTATCCGTATTCTGCCTTCGCTTTTCCTCTATCAATACTACCTTGCAAAACAAAATGAATTCGCTTAGTCATTTGCTT